TGTAATTAATAATCCTTGTTTCCTGCCTGACTTACTTAAGAGCCCATCAGTTTAGCCTGACTTTGACATGACATTATAAATGATCAAATTAATTTTTAGCCTAGTGAAGAATTTGCAGCGAGATGGAAACATTGCTTGTGCAACAAAGTGCTCCAAATGCCTCTCCCAAGCTGTGCCACTGGTAACTACAGAGCTTGGAATTCCTAGATCTGTAAAGTAAGAATGATGGGATTTAGCTGTGTAAATGCTGTGATCATGAATTGATGCCTAAATTGTTCCACTATCCCAGGTTATTCCAAGCCTCTTCAAGCCTGGCCTTGAACACTCCCAGAGATGGGGCAGCCACAGCTTCTCTAGGCACCCTGTGCCAGGGCTTCCTCACCCTCCCAGGGAAGAATTTCTTTTCCAATATCCCATCTATCCCTGCCCTCTGGCAGTGGAAGCCATTCCCCCTCATCCTAACACTCCAGGCCTTGTCCCAGATCCCTCTCCAGCTCTCTGGGATCTCCTTTAGGCACTGGAAAGGGATCCAGGGTCTCCCCAGAGCCTTTTCCTCTCCAGATGAACAACCCCAGCTCTCCCAGCCTGGCTCCAGAGCAGAGGGGCTGCAGCCCTCAGAGCATTTCTGTGGCTTCCTTGGCACTCACTCCAGCAGCTCCACATCCTTCTTGTGTTGGGGTCCCAGAGTGGAGGCAGCTCTGCAGGTGGGGTCTCACCTGCGCAGGGCAGAGGGGCAGAATCCCCTTTTAATGAAGCAGCCAGGTTTGTACAATGGAACTACAGGAAAGGACAGGGAAATGTCTGGGGAATATTCAGTGCACAGCCATTCTTGGGAGCCCTGAGTTCATCCAATGCTGGAGGCTTTGTGTTTTGAACACTTTGTTAGGGTCAGGAGCAACCCTTGGCCCTGTATCCTGCAGGAACAAAATGCTTGCTGAAGTTGCTTGAATATTCCAAGGATTTCATTCTATGTTTGCTTGAATATTCCAAGGATTGGCCCCAGTGAAGTATCTGGTAGGTCTGGGGAATGGTCTCATCCTCAGAAAGAAGGATCTGGGATTTGGAACCAGCCTTTGCAGGCTGTGGAGCTGCTCAGTACCTCAGCCTGTCCTCTGGGGAGCTTCCTGTCAGTGCCTGTGGGTGATGGCAGCAGCAGCCCCTGCAGACACAACACCTGGGGGGCTCTGAAGTCCTGGGGGGTCTCCCTGGGACCAGACTTGCCTGTGCACACCTGGCAGGTGCTTTCCTGGTGGAGATTGCTTCAGCCTTGCAGCCCTGAGTGCTGGGGAGCAAAGCAGCGTGGTGGGGAGCCAGCAAACTGCCTCAGCACCTGCAGTGCTGCAAGCAGGAGGTTTTTGTATTTTGAACACTTTGTTAGGGTCAGGATCACCCTTAGCTCTGCATCCTGCAGGAACAAAAGTTCCTCCTGATAGAGGCTTCCCTTTGAGCCTTCTGCAGTGGCAGATTGATCCTGCATCCTCTGTAGGGTCCCTGAAGAGAGCAGGGCTTGCTGGGATCCTGCTCCCAAATCCATGTGGGCACGTTTCCATCAGTTAATTTGCTTTGCTGCAATGGGCAGAAGCAGGGCCAGGTCTTCTCAGAAGCCTTGAGTTTACAATCTGATCATCCACACCCAGCATCTCTGGGGCTGTGCACACACACCCCTCTCTAGTACTGTGGGCAGCCAAAAATTTGGGAGATCCTCTGTGAAAACAGCCAAGAAGGGCGGGGTGCTCATTTTAAATTGAGGGTGACTTGAAAATTATTTTTCTGCATAGTGGAAAGTAGAGTCATAAACTCCTTGTAGTATTAATCATAGATGTGTTTTGAGGGAAGATTGTTATCTTTTGGTCTGTGCTGTGTTAGCAGCTGAAAATCCCAGGCCTGGCTCTGCTAGGAGCTCTCCTGACACAGGGGAGAAGGCAGCTCTTGTTCTGGAGAAATAATAACACATAAAAGGAAATATGAGGTGGTTATGGCCGATGGGGAACTGAAGTTCTGTTGGACAGACCAAAGACTGCCCCTCAAAAAGGGGTGAGAAAGCAGAGAGAAGTTGGCCACACTTCTGTCCTGTAATGGATAGCTGGATGTGTCACTGCTCCAGCTGCTCTCCTGCACTCCAGCTCCTCAGGGAGAATTGCCCACGCCCAGCCCTTCACTGTGTGGATGGGAGTGGATGGGACCATGGTGTGAGGGCTGTGCTGGGATGAAAAGAGCATCTTCCATTTGCATCCCTGAGCAGTGTGTGTGTGCACAGACAGCGCTCAGCCTCCACCGAGCCATCCCCAGGGTGTCTGGGCAGGCAGGGTGATAATGTAAAAGGAATGCAGGGAGGGTAAGGAGACAAAATCAGCATCCTGGGTAAAATCCTGCCCTGGTCCCCAGTGGCTGTTGGCTCCTGTGTGCTCCATCTCTCCTCCCACCCTCCCTGGGAAGGGCAGGCTCTGCCTGTACTTGTCATGCCAGTCACACACATGCTGGTGCACAGACTAACACCCTCCACAATAAATCTAAAAGATTAATTACTAGGGGAAAAAAAAAAATCCCACAACCCCACTTGCAGCATTTGAAATGCATCTCAGCCAGTGCTGTGCTCTGGTTATTCATGGGGAAAAGAAATCACCTCCTGAATCGAGCAATTGAGAATGCAAATATCCCAGGCTGGCTCAAAAGAGGAATCAAGCTCTGTACTGTCAAGCTGATTAGCATCCTGTTCCGTGGGGTGCTGCCCTGAGCCCAGAGGGAAAATTTGGGGACAACTGTGTTTAATGCTTAAGGATGAGGTTTCTGAGTTTTGCCCAGAGAGAAATTACAGCCTTGCTACGCCCCATCTGATGACAGACCATAGAGATGTTTTCGTGTTCTCTTCACAGCGACTGCCCTTTCTCTGGTGAGATCTTTCAGCCTTTTGTTTCCTGTCACTGACCAGCTGTTTTTTGTGAGTTGAGTTTTTTTGTTGTTGTAAAACTGAAGCTTTCCACAGGCAGTGGAACAAAGATTTTCTTTTTTCTCTTGTGAGCAGGGAGGGAAAGTACATTGGAGCAGTTTCTCATGGGACTGGGACTTCTGCTTGCAAGAAGGATTTTACACTTTGTTTTGCCTTTTTTCCCCTTCCCCTGAAAGCAGTGTAGCTGCCTCTTCCAGAAAGACTAGGAATTATATCCTGATCCTTTTCAGTCCATATCCCAGCAGTAGGGTGGGAAATGCAGCATTTGGGAGTTGGAAATACTCAGCAAGAAAGAAGCAAAATGAATCCCAGTCTGCTCCTTGTTGTTATGTCCCAATGAACACAAATCCTCTGTAGCATTCCTCGTGACCCACTGCAGATGTCAGAGGGGAAAATAAAATTTCCCTCTGAAGTGTTGCTCACCCCTTCTTAGCCCTGTGCAGGAGCATGAGTGTGGCTGGAAATTGCAGTGGCAGTGACAAGCAGCTTGTGCATGGTCTTTATTGCCCCAAAAAGCTGCTGTGCATCTTTGATTTTTCTGCCAAACTTCTCTCTTCTTTCTCCCTTTGCCATCCCCTCCATTTTTCCTGGTTTGCCTGCAGCAATGTCCAGGAGACTTTGGGGCTGTTTGGACATGTGCTGGCAGGGTGGGCCTGCTGGTGAGGACAGATCCCTGGATATTTCATGTGAGATGTGTCCCAGGCCTTGGGTTTTTCCTGACCCACCCTGTCAGATCAGGCCTGGGATGGGTTTGCTGCCACTGCCCAAGTTAAGGCTCTCCTGTTGGATTAAGGCTGCAGAACCAGGGCTGTCACTGCCATAAAATCTGTGTTTGAAGTGGAATTTCCATTAAGCTCTCCCATTTCTCACAGCCTGCTGCTGTATCTCCAAAGAATAAATTTGTGTTAGGGGTATTTAGAGTGGATATCAGGGAAGGGTTCTTCATCCAGAGATTCTGGGCACTGAACAGGCTCCCCAGGGAATGGGCACAGCCCTGAGGCTGCTGAAGCTCTAGGAGTGCTTGGACGACACAGGGTGGGAGTTTGGGATGTCTCTGTGCAGGGCCAGGAGTTGGAATTTGATCTTTGTGTGGTTCTGCAAATTAGAGGCACACCCTTTCAGAGCAGTGCCTGCTCTGCACATCCTTTCCATAGAAATTCAGAGGGTGTTCAGCATTTTCCTGCTCATTCCCTGCTGCAACAAGTCCCTTCTCTCAATATTTATTAGTTTTTTGGGAGAGCTGTTAATTGGAAGAGGGAGGTGGGATATAGGCATCAAGTTGTGTTTTCATGTAAAAATTAAATTTTTGAAGATGTAAACATATGCAGTGTTCACTGTAGGCCAGTTCAGCTGATTGTGGTGTAACAACAAGTTTTGGAATTTAAAATAAATGTGACTGTGGTCCAGGGGTTGCTCCTGCTGGGACTTTTCTCCCAATTTCATCTTCAAATCAATGCATGGCATGAATGAAAACAGCAGCAGCATGTCTTGGTGAAATTTGACATTTCCCAGCATCTTCTGCACATCAGAGATTGGGCAACCATTGCCAGGGACAAATTTCTAAATTAACACAGTGGTAAAGGGGAGGGTGATGATTTCAGGTATGTCCTAGCAAGGTTCATGACACCAGTGCCAGCCATGTGGGAGTTACTCTTTCCACCCTGGATCTTTTTTTGGTTTACTGGGTGTTACCTCCTTGATAACACCTTTGGGTTGCTCGTTTGCTTATGGAGTTGTTTCAGTTTAATTACATTACAGATGATGGTTGCCATCCCTCTGTTGCTCATAGAAGGGTAGCTGAGCCTGTGTGCCTCATGTACACAGAAATGGAATTTCCATGAGCTCTCTATTGCTCACAACCTTCAGCTCTGTCTCCAAAATGTGCTGGAAACATTCCCTGCTGGTGAAGCTGCTTCTTTTTGAGTTACAGCCATCAGAAACTATAAGAAATCTCAGTGTTTCATGTTAGGGATAATGAGTTTGTAATTGAATTTGTCTCCTTTCCATTCCATTTTTGGTCTTACTAAAGAGGTTTCCCTTGTTTCTTCCCCAGAATGCCAGGACTGGTGGGCAGCAGGTTGCAGACAGAACACTTCTGCACTTCCTGCAAACTGCACAGTCTGTTCTGCTGTGAAAAGCCTTCACATAGTGACAGACCCCAGCCAGCTATCAAAAAAGCTCCAGAGGCATCAGCCTTTTCTAATCAAGGTAATGCAGGGATTTGTGAGGCTGGGTGATGACTCCAAACCCTTGAACAGCACAAGCCCAAAACCCCTGCCCAGTATTTTCACCCATGAGCTCAAACTGCTCATTCAGGACATGTTTAAGAAGATATTTCACTCCTGTAAAGATGTGGGGGGAAAGAGCTCCCTGCATTGTTCCTCTGACTAATGATCATTGTATTTGAACATTAGCAATCCATGTGGCTGTTGCTCTTGGATGTTTTCTAGTGGGAGGGAAATGGGAGCAGGGGGCAACCCTGTGGGCACAGCTTTTATTTTTGTTTCATGGTCTTTAAGACAGGGCAGCACCTCTCCTATGAAGAACTGAAGCATTTTCAGTCCCAGGATCCAGAACTGGCAGGGGTTATAATAGAAGAAAATTCAGCTGAATTATGGAGCTGCCCATTTTTCTTTCCCTGGTGAGTCAGACCAGCCATGTGATGGATGGATGGATGGATGGATGGATGGATGGATGGATGGATGGATGGATGGATGGATGGATGGATGGATGGATGGATGGACACATCCTTTCTGTAGGGGTGCTCAGGCTCTGCCTGTGTGAACCAAGTTGCAGTTTAACTGGAGGGAGGGTGTACAGGAGTGGGTTTCAGGCTGCTTCTGCTTGCTGGCACTGATTTGTTCTGAGGACGAGACTTCTGCACTAAAAATGGAGAGTTGGTGCTTGGTCTCCAGCTATTGCTCCTCTTGTAAGATAAAATTATCCCAAGGACTGTTCTTCAGGCTGTAAATCATCTGGGCTGTGATCAAATCACCTGAGACAAGTGGTTCACATTTCTATCACCTCTGTCTGCTCAGTGGAAATCCTCCACCACTGGTGCTGACTGAGGAGAGATGCCATGACTTCTGCAAACACTGAGAAGTAATGGAAAGTCAAAGAATCCTGCAGTGTGTGTTTGGTCTTGTGCAGAAAATATGGCCAATCCTCATCCTGCCCCTTTATCCAAAAGCTCTTTGCCAAAGCCTTTAATGGGAACAAGACATGTGAACAACTCAGAGCTCTCTGAGGTCTCAGAGCCAGCACTGGTAGAGGGATGGTCAGGGTACAGAAGAATTAATCCCCTAGACAGGGATGTAAAGATAACAAGCCCCACCTGGCCTTTTCCAGTCACATTTCCTGGTCTAGAGAATAGCCTTGGATCCCCCCTGTCTCACAGTGTGGGTTCAGTTATGGTTGTGTATGATGCCACCTCTCTGCATCTTTTGTAATTAATGGATCTGGTCAATGACTTGGATCATTTTAAGGGAAAATGAGAGGGAAATGAAGTTCAGGTATCCATAAGGATCTGTTTGCTCCATCTTTACATGGTCCTGGTGCAGGAGCCCAGAGGAGAGTGGGGAGGAGCAGATTTAGAGGTTGAGGTTGAATTTTGCTCCCGATTCCCAGGGCCAGTCTGTCATGCTGTTTATCAAGCATGAACACTTGGCAAGAATTTTATCTGGAAAGTAGCTTTTTAATGCAAACGTTTATCATTGTATGATGATTCTTTAATATGGGCTGGTTTGTTTAGGAACAAGTCTGTGAATAGATCCAGGATTCTCCAGGATTTTCTCCCTGCCTCCTTTTTGCAGTCCTTCCCCAAGACACTGTCCCTGGAGAGCTGCTTCCTCATCCGCCACCCAGACTTGGGGAATAAGGTGAGAAATAAATTCCAAAGGCATTCTCCTCCTGTCTGTGAGTTATCTCCCAGCAGCTCTGAGTTTTTGTGGGATTTTCAGGGTATTTTTAGCTGATTCAGTCCTGAAAAGGAACTTTTGGGGTTGTATCAGTTCTGTCCATCCCTGTGTAAAGTGGCATCTCAAGGTGGTTGTGCTTCCCAGCACTTGTGTCCAATTTGGGGCAGGAGATACCCTGTGCCAACCTCCCTTGGAGCTGGAAATGTCACAGAAACAGAGACATTAAAAGATCACCTTGTTCCCAACACCCCTTGCCTGCTCCATTCACGTGTCTGGCCTTGCTCTATAGCTGGGTGAGATCTTTCTGAGCACAGTTGGGCAGAATTGTTTTAAGAGCTGCATTTTAGGAGCTGTTCTGGCAGTGAGTCTCACTCATTCTGACACTTCACTGGCCTGATCTCCTCCTCTGTGTTTTCCTGGGTTGTGGGGATGTGCAGGCCCTGCCTTGCCTTGGAGCAGAAGAGAACCCTTGCATGCAGCTGACCTCAGCTAAAATTCTGTGCTCCACTGGTAACTGGTGGAGCAGCAAACTTGCTGTTTGTTCTGTTTCACCTGCCTGCAGGGCAGTGGCTGTCCCTGCTTTGGGCAGACAGAGCCAAGGAAAGCTTTTGAAATCCTCTCCTCCTGTCCTAGAGCTACAGCCTGCACAGCCTCTTTGCTGTTGGGAGTGGGCAGCTCACCCTGACTGTGTCACCTCTGGACACGTGCAGAGAACACTGCGAGGTGTTCAAGGTGGAGCTGGAAGCTGGGGATTTGGGTGAGTACCAGAGCTGTGGCTTGCAGGGGCTGGGAGTGGAATCAGGAGATTGCTTCCAGCTGGGTCTTTTCTGTCTGACACCTGGGATGGTGGTTTGTGCCATTGTCACCTCCACACTGGTGTGTGCCTGCTTGTCACAGCAGAGAGTGATCCTCACAGAGAGTGAGTTTGTGGCCTGCAACTGCAACACTGGAGATGCTCCAAGCTGAGCAGCGTGGGTGCACAATGGGTGTTACAAACCCAGTGCCCACTGAGGGAATTATCTTTCCAAAGAGCTCCAGCATGAGCACATCCCTTTGTGGGAAATGGGAGCGCTCCTTAAGGATGGGCCCATCTAACAGAGCCTCTCCATTGCCTCTTCCCAAGGTTATGCCAGCACAGATCACTGGACAATGAGCTTCATGGCCAGAGGGACAGAGCCAGCAGTGATTTGTGATGGAGCTGCCAGCTAAGGATGCTGGGGTGGGAAAACAGAGCTGTTCCCAGGACAAGAAGACTTTCAGCTTTGAAGCCAAGGCAACGTCTTGAGAAGAGCGAGCCAGGGCAACTGGGGCAGGCAGCTTTGCCACCCTGCATGTTTACAGTGTTTAAAAAGGACTATTTTCCTGACCCTTGAGGTAATCCTTTGCCTTTCCTCAAATGTATTTTGGGAGAAGCTCAAGCTATTTATGACCCTCCCTGTCCCCTCAGGTAAGCCCTGGGTTTGCAGCAAAGGGTTTTTTTTTCCAGGAGCAGCAGATGGATTTCTCAGGATGAGATTCACCTTTGTGGATTATGGCACTTCTGAAACTTCCTGGGGGGTTTGGGAGTGGATGGGGTGTGTGACATTTCTGTGTACATTCCTCCTGAGGAGGAAGCTTTGAGCCTGTGTAGTCAGGCCAGTTCTATAAAGGGAATGAATTGGTGATGTGTCCCAGCTCTCCTCACGTCCGCAGCTGTGTGAGCCCTGCAGAACTGACCTTGGCTCCTGCTCCCTGCCTGGGGAGAGCCTTGAGCCTGAGGGCAGAAACTCTCACCCACTTCGTCCTTCTTGTACCAAAAGAATCCCTTCAGGCCTCTCCGTGTTGTGATCACTGTTCTGCAGCTCTCTGTCAGCAGGTTGTGTGAGTGAGTCAAATGGTAATTGTGCTTTTCTTCACCTCCACTTCCTTTCCTGCAAAAACACTGACACACGTCTCAGAGGTGCTGGCAGTGGAGGAGTTCTGGATGGAGCTGTGGCTGGGAGAGAGCAGCTCTGTCCAGCTTTCACCTCAGACACCAAGGGCTGCCCAGCCATTCTCAGCTGCTCTTTGTTTTTGGAGGCACTGCCTGCATTCTCAGCCCTCGGTACCTTTGGGAGCACCTGAAACCTCCCTCTTCCCTGGCATATATTTACATTGACTCTTTCCAGACCTGGAACTCTGTCTTCAGAATGAACATTGGTTTTTCCTGGGTCCTTTCCAAGCTGCCTTTGCGTGTTTCCTGCTGCTGGAGCAGCGCTGTCTCCAGTGCCCTGAGAGAGGCTCGGGTTCGGGCTTTGCAGACTGCGGATGCTCCGGTCCCTTCCAAGTCTGATCCTTTGGGTCTGATCCCACTGCTGAAGATCATTTACAGATGTGTCAGGCTGAACTCATAGGCCAGGGCTGGAGTTCAGGACATACTCTCTCACACTTGTTAATATGGAGTTGGGAGGGGTTTTGGTTGACAGCGAGTTAACTCTGTTCTCAGGAGCAAGAGCCTTTTTCTCTGTAAATATTTTAGGTACATGTAAAATGACAGATTGGGAAAATGTCTGTCCAGCCTTTGTTTTTGAGGGGAGGGAGCAAACATTGTGCTAATCTGATTAGGAGTTGATTAAAGCTGCCAAGTGGGATGACCACTTCTGGCTCCTGTACAAGAATAAGGCAGAGGACAGTTCCTGCTCCAAAGAATTCAGTCTGAGGCCTTGACACTACAAACATTTCTATGCATAACCCTTGTTTTTCTCCTGTCAAAACAATGAGAACAAGCCCAGCACCTGTGTCAGTCTGTGCATGGCCCTTGGTGCTGGACACACACCAGATGTAGTAGAACCAAAATGGGAGAGAGTGTCTGGCTCTCTCAGGATAGAAGAGGACTGATATAATTTGTTACCAAGTGTTAAAGGGAATTGGACTAATAGAACTTCCATTAGTGTTCTCACTGCTTGGAGTGTATTTCACACTCATGACACTACATTCAGTCTTGCACATGCCAAGACACACACACACACCACCCCTCTCCCTCCCCTTAAAGCCTGGGTCTTAGTTAATGGAAATTTGGGAGTTCAGTGATGGCAGAATTAGGGCCTCATTAGTGACTGTTGCTATTTACACTTTGGCAGCTTCTCAAATCAAATTCAAAGGCTGACCAGGTTACTTCACCTCTTACTGCTTTTGTATCTGACCCATTTTTGTAAAGCATTTGCTCAAAGATGCTGCTGGAGCCATTCTTGCTGAGATTGTGGCGGTTTGGTGACACTGTCACTGCTAAGTGTCCTTGACTGTAACTTGTAAAAGAGCTGCGGAGACAATTCCCAAGTGTCTGTGAAATGCCTGGATTTTGAGAGTCACACTTAAGCCATTGTGGCTGTCTGGCTCTTTCAGGAAGAAGCAGAGAAAATGGATCTATTTACAGTTGTTGTTTGGAATGGGGGGAGGAAGGGGCAGGTTTTTAGCAGAAATGTTCTCACGTAGTGCTTCTCCCTTCCTCGAAGAGTTGCAGCTGGTTGGACAGGAGCTGGTGAGTCTGGCCTGTTTGCAGAGCAGCCTTCCAAGTGCACTTTATGGGCTCTGCATAAGTTTCCAGCTCTGTCTCAGATACATTGCATATGTCCCAGCCTCACTCCCTTCGGAGCTTACATCATTTGTTTTTAAGCTCTCCGGTATATTTTCTCTTCCTCTTCCAAAGGCTGTAAGGAATTAGCTGCTAAACTAAAACAGGAGGGCAGTTCTCCTGCTGATAAAGAGTCAATTTTGGCCCAAGTGCAGAGCCCCAGTCTGCAGCACAGCTTCCAGAGCAGCTCCTGTGTCCAGCTGCCAGAGGAGTGGTGCTCACACCTTCCACATCCCAGGGCAGGCAAGGAGCCACGGTGGGAAACCCAGAGGTGAGGCCACAATGGCAGAACTGGGATGGCCAAAGGGAGGTTTTGATACCTGGTTGTCTTCCACATCCAGAGCTGCAGCTTGCCAGAGTCCCTGGAAAGGCTGCAGGACTTCCCTGGGGAGGCTGGTGGTCCTAGAGGCCTGCTGAGGTGGAACAGGGCTGTTCCTGCAGCTGTTGAGGTTTCACAGCCATGATCACATGAATCTCAAAGGGGGTGTCCCACCGTGGTCTCCCTCACCTCAGCTCCCCTTTTGCACTCTCTGTGCTGGTTTGGACAATCCCCCACTCTGCCCAGCTCACACAAGTCCCCAGTTAATACATTTTAAAATCCCTTTGTGTGCTTCAGAGCTCATTGCCTGTGAGCTGGGAGATGGATTCCTCCTCACCCCACATCCCAAAGGCTGCAAAGCTGCTCTGAAATCACCCCAGAGATCGGTACTACCCACGAGCCCAGAGGAGGGGGCACCTCTGCCCTTGCCAGGCTGGGAGGACGGGCTGTGCCCATCAGCTGGGCAGGAGGATCGTGGTTTAAAGCTGCTCCCCAAAGCAGGGTCACTGACCAGTGCTGTCAGTCAGTCCTGAACTCAGGGTAACTGAAAGGAGGAGAAAGGATTATGATGATTTACTGCAGTACCAGGAAATGAGTGGCCCCCACGGGAGCCAACCTGGCAGTTCCTATTGATTCTTTTTTTTGCTTTCTTTGTTCCTTTTCATTTTTTTTCCCTGCCCACTGTTATTGCACACATTGATTCCCCTGAGGGGTCTCTTTTGAGTCAGATTCCCCATGAGTCTCCAGACTGCAGCTTCTCCCACCAGGCCTGTTTTTGGAATATTCTGGAGGAGAAGCTGCTTTGTCTGGGCTGGATCAAAGCACCTCCCTTCCCTCGTGGCCTCCTGGGCTCCAGCAGCAGCAGGAGGAGGTGGGGAGCAGGAGAGCATCTCATGGTAGAGATGTGAGCTCTGTAATCCCCAGTGTCTCAGAAATGGGGATCCTTCTGCCTTGAAACCCTCTTGTTCCCTCCCTCCAGGAGGGAAATTTCCACACACCCCAATCCCAGGTCCTCACTCAGCCCCGTGGCCCCCAAGAAAATGGAATATTTCCTGGGGTGAGGCCATTTTGATGGGTGCACAAAGAGTTTTTGCTTCCTGCAAACCAAACTTTTCTCCTCTTGGTAAATTTTATAGGTAGAACTCGAAATCCTCCTCTTCAGGAACCTCCTCCTTGTAAAGGGCAGATTTAGTGTCCTGCTGAGTTAGACAAGGGAGATGCTGGACTTCCCTTTGCTTTGGAGATTCAAACAAATGGCAGGTGATTTATTTTTAGCATTATCTCCTTGTCTTGGGGAGGGGAGCCACATTCTAAAGGCTCAGAGGTGCTGGGAAGTAAAGCTATATATGCATAAAGACTGTTTCAATGCTGAACACTAAACTTAGTGATGGATTTAAAAAAAAAAAAAAGAATGTGAATATGCACTTAATGCAGAATTTTATGGATGGTCCTAATTTAATATATTGCAAACTTTGTAAATACTTGGGAAAAGCCTGTAAAGTATGTAAATAAATGAGATTTGTATGTAAGAAGAATAAAAAAGTTTTTAATTTTTGCAATTAAATACAAGTGTTAATGACCCTTTTCCCTTTTCCTGATTTTTATTCTCATATTGCATGTCAACTTTGAGGGGTTATTTAACCTTTTTTGGTACACTTTTTCTAAGGGAAGTGTAATTTTAAATGAAAAGTCAGAACACTTTTGTTAGGAAAATGTCATAAGAAACACTTTGTGAAAAGGAGCAGGTTGGGAAGTTTTTAGCCTGATTTTCTGAACCAAGTTGATGCAACAACTCTGCCTATCCCTCCTTTCTTTTCTTCCCAGCAACAATCTCCATCTTTCCTTCACAATCCAGTTGATTTTAGCCAAACTTTGAGGCGTGGAAGGCGATAAACTCCTCCAGAGCTCATAAATCCAGGCGAGTAGGGAGAAAAGAGAGAGATCCTGTAACTCCCACAACAGAGCAGGAGCCTGTTAGACACCGACCAGCCCCACTGGAGACCCTGAGATGTGAGTCAGTAGAAACCCAGGCTTGGTCACTTCTGTGCTGGAGCAGAGCCTGTCAGGTGTTGTGGACAATCCTGGGTGGGCAGCAGTTTTGGGATGAGGAAACCTTCAGGAGGGTGGAGGAAGGGATGGGAGAACAGGGATTTGACTCTGGCCAGAAACTCCCTGGAAAAGCTGAGGTAATTCTGGGATCCCAAAGCTTTGGGGCAGTGCATGAAGGGTTTCTGGAGCTTAAACCCAGTGTGAGACCCCCTTGATCCCTGTGGTGGGGTTGAAAGGGTGCAGCCCTTTTTCCTTGCACACTTTGAATCCCTCCCTGCTGGGTTCCCAAGGATGAGCAGGTGACACTACCAGACATAGGAAAGGATTATGGGGTGTTTGGGGTCACAATGGGTGTGGCTCCTGTCCCTGTCCCCGTGCTGCTCCCTGGGGTGGACCATGGGCTGTTCCTTGTGTGAGCAGAAGGAAAGCTGCATTGTACATACCCTGTTGGATGGTTTGGTTATTCCAGCCAGCCCTGAGACTCCAAGCCCTCCTGTTTGGGGCCATCTCAGCTCTGTACCCTGTTCTTCCTCTCCTGATGGTTCAGGGCAGAGGCATCACCCTCAGCTTGCCCCTGTTCCCATCAGGCTGGGGCTGTTCCTCAGCTGCCAAATGCTGTCCCNGGGAGGGTGTTTGCCATAATGCTGGTGACCTTGGATGCTTCTCCTTTTTCCTGGCTTCTGTTCCATTTCCAGGCTGGAAGTGTTGAGCTCTCCCACCCATCTGCCCGTGTGGCTGGCAGGCCCTGCCACAGCCTGACCCTGGGGACAGCAGGGTGACTTGGGGACAATGAGACACGGTGGTTGGCTTTGGTGTTTGTAGATGAGACACAGTGGTTGGCTTTGGTGGTTTTTGGGTTTTTTTCCAGCAGAAATGCTCTTTTCCTTCCCAATGTGTCCATCTCAATTTTGGACAAGTTTTACCTCTTTCCCTTCTTGTCCAAACAGAATTGAGGATTTCTGTTTCCTCCTGGTTCTGGTGGAGCTCTGGCCAGTACTGCCCAGCTGTTCTCCCCTCTCCTCCTTCATTCTGCAGCCCTTGCCTCCTCCCAAGATTCATTTTACGCCTGTGCCTGCACCTGTGTGCACACACAGAAGAGAAACCTTCAGAGCTGAGAGGGGCCACCAGCTCCTTCATGTAGCTTTTCCCTGCATGGCTTCATTGTTTGCATAATTTCAGTGTATTTGAATTTAGATACAGATTCCTCTTGACGTGTAACTTGTGTGTGTGTGGTCAGGGAGAACAAATCCCAACTTGTGTTGGTACAATCTGAGCTCCAGAGGTACAAGTGACGCTGTTAGAGGTTATTGGTGGCTCCTGGGCCTGCTGCAGGACCACTGGCATTGTCTGGGCCACTGTGTTTTGTTTTTGTTTGTCTCTCCTCCCTTCACCTGAGGATTCCCAGTCAGGTGTGTTAAATATGTGCCAAGCTTTGCAGACAGATGGAAAGGAGATAATGGGGAGATGCAGCCCGTGCTCTGGTCATTGCAACCTTTCATTTCTTACACATGAGGTGGAGGATGACCTGAAGGCCATTATTCACCTCCTCCACTGCTGCTCTGTCCTCTGCATCTCCAGAGCATGCACTGAATAAATCCTGTTGTGCAAATCTGTTCGCTCTCTCTCTCTAGGGGATCTGCACACCTGGGAGCTGCTTACTATTAAAATGCTCTTAATTATGTGCTCACATAGAACTGCTAAAAGACAACATGACTTCTGTGGGTCCTGAAGGGGTTTCTTGGCTTTGCAAAAGCATCCATGTGCTGCCTTTTGTAAGGGTGTAACTTAATGTTTTTAAACCTTTGTAAAAGCAGCAGGAGGCCATGGGGATTGAGGATGACGTAGGGAATTTTTCTTGAGCATCCAGCTGAGTGTAAAGTAAAAATGTGTCCCCACCAGGAATTCTTGGGCAAGGGAAGCAAGAGAAAAAGAGCTCGGAGCAAAACAAGAAATAAAAACTATGGCTGGAGCACATCTGGTTCCCTGTTTTAGGAAGCCTCTCACACCCTAAACACAATTTCCACTTTGCAGCACAGAAAAAAGTTAAATTTCAAGTGTGGGCCCCCAGATTCTGTTTTTGCAGTGTTATCACATCAGAACATCCATGTGGGAGCAGCATAAGGGGCAAGGACCTTGAGAGGCAGAATCAGCACTGCAGTGATGCTGGCATCTTTGCCT